AATTTGCTTCGTCTGTTTGCCACGCAGTCCGGTATCAAATGCGAAATCACCTGGAGACCCCCGTTCAAGTTTGGGGTGGACTGGCGGGACATGCTCCTAAATAGACGTAGTTCACCACGAACAACAGACCAAGGACGGATATGAGCTAAAAGAGGGGGAGAGGTCATTCGTTGCTGGAGGGCGTGGCATGCAACGAAGTGGGCGGAGATTGCCATGAGACCTACCATTCGGTTCCGCGACTTCCCAAAAACCGGGAAAAAGCACATACAGTTCATATCCGAGAGTTGGGGTAGGCGTGTCACCGGAAATGACGTGGTGGTAGCCGCACTTGATAGTCGACGAGGAGGAAAATTAAGGGCGGTTGGGGGACGAGGCTTGCATCGTTACGCGCAGACTCCACGAAATCTAAGATTCTTCAATGAGGCAGTCTAGTGACCGAGAAGAAAATGGTGAACTCTTCCTTTCCAGACTACACATGGAGAAATCACTTAATATGGACTGTATTAATCACATCAGTTGTCTTCAATACCCCTAATTCGACGGCGCACGCTACCACACCCCCAACACGATCCTCATGAGCAATCGGACTTCTCAGATTTACCTTCGGACAGGGACACGACACAACGTTCGCCGTTGATCAATCTCTTTTTGTGGTGTGCCACGCCACTGTGCGCATGAAATGATTTGACCTCTATAACGACTTGCGCATGTCAGAGAAACAAGTGAGCTTCCATCCTCCTACGCATTCTGAGTTGAAATACTGAAATTTTTCAGGGTTATCCCAGAGCAGCCCGTTTTTCGGACATGAAGATTTTCGCCTGATCGAAACAGTCACAACGGCCATTGGTTTCAACAGATTTTGAGTTTTTGTTTTTAGGGTTTTTTTTTTTGATTGTTCAATTCTATTGGCTGCACAGGCTCATTGGCATTAAAATTTTATTTTCTGGAAGTCAGGAAATTGGGACGGGTCAATCCACGGACAAAGTGGGGAACCACAAACTACTTTTTCGTACTCATGCGCCCACAGAGACTACTGTACCTGCGCTAAACTGTGTTTGAAAAATTATTCTCAACAACTCGTTCTGATTTACGGAAAAGAATCTCTAACCAGGAAAGTCTTACAGGACATGCAGTGCTTTTGCAAAACGTTTTTGTCTGTTATAGAAGAGACACGCGCAGGGAACACAAGACTGAGACTATTTTTTTCTGAGCGGCTCTAGGATTGCCAAAAAACCTTCTTAAACCAGGGCTTGTGGTCGATGAGGGTGAGCAAAATGGGTGAGCCTCAAAGGTGAGATTGCTTACAAACACAGCCCTCCTTGACACTTTTCGTTTAAAGTATGACTGCAGCTATCGCCCAAACGACACATTAAATATTTCACATGTTATTACCCTTCATTATGTTATAATTTTGAAACTCAAGATATCGAAGGTTTGAAGTGTGAAAAGTGAACAACTGTACATCAAAGGTAAAAGCGAAGCGGAATGAAACAGAGATCTACCACACTGGAAGGACAGTTAGTGAAAAATCTGAGCGTTTTAGAAAATAGCTTGAGTAATTTGCTTGAGTCGGTCATCGTAAGTGAAGTGGTGGGCTGCAAATAAGTCAGACGAGTAGAAGGCCTTCACATTTTCGATCTTCAACTGTTGCGCCTGGAAAGAACATTTCTGAGCAAATCTCGTGCCTTAGACTGTGGTCGTAGTTTGCCTGACTTGCAGTTCGAGTGTGGAATGGACTCGTGTCGTCATACCACATGTGATCGTTCGAGCTTGCCACTTTACTATGTTAAGATTTTGCGAACGCACGATCGCAGATTTGCAAACGCCACCGCCAGCGTAACCTAACTGTGTATCGTCCTTGCGGGCTTCCTGTTTTCTCACATGATCTTTCTTCACTCTTTTTAAGGAGGTGCAGTCAATATCACGAATTCTGATTAGGCGTATCACCGTAATGACGAGGCGGCCACCACACTTGATAGAAGTTGCGTGGATGAGCTGCTCTGGCCTGTCTTGCTGATTCCCAGCGAAGTATGTTGGAAGCGCCTTATCCGCGCAACTCTATCAGGTGCGGCGGTCGCCACGTCAAGTCCGTAGACCTGCCCAGTGGGAAGGTCAGAACTGTAGGTAAGGCGTACTCGGTTGCAAATTGCAGTTACTGTGCGTACATTTTAATGTTCCCAAATGTTTTGTATTTGTTCCTTCTACAATCGCAATGTGTTAAAAGCAGCCTCGCTCATCAGTAAGTCAAAAAACACACACATTCGGCCCCGGTCTTCCTCTTACGAGCTGCCCTCTTTCTCATTTATTCATGAGTAGGATTTCGCTATGGTATGGAAGTGCTGTGGCTGCGCGTTACATATGTGGATGCGGATGTTCGCATATCTTTCCGTGTGCCTTTCCTGCATACTTTCCCATAACGTTAACGTATATTACTTTGTATCATGCGAGGGAGCATTGCGGAAGAACATGCGCCATACGAAGCAATGGCTTGGCTTCGAGGTGAGCCGACCATACGATAAAAGCTACGCTGGCTGCTGAGGAAAGCGCTCCGCCGCAAAAGCGTTTCTGTGTTGCCAGCAGTGGCATACGTGGAGCAACTCAACTGGAGCATGGATTGGCATGGTACCAAACGCGTTGCGGTAAACTCGTCCATACGTCCGCCGTCTTAGCCGCTGCTCATCCTTGAGCGAAAATCAAGCCAACAAGGGAATCCCATTTCGCGTTTTCTTGACGGATTTCTCTGCTTCTGCTTCTCGCGCCATTGGCGCACCAATGAGCTCCCATACATTCCCTCCAAATCACTCCAACACCTATGGTAAACGCTGCCTTTAACGATGTAAGCTCAGCCAAGGGTGTATAGGGCAAGCTAAAGCCCCTGTGCCAACCAATCCTACCAAGAAAGAAACTAGAGTAAAAACAGCGACGTTGTCCACTCGTCAGCAAAAGGGCGTGCCATAAAATAGAATAGGTCCCAACAGTCGATAGACGAATGCGAGTCAGCGACCGCACGATTCCGATCACCCATTTCTACAGAATCCGACGAATCTATTCCACATTTGAACTTCAATGCAGTCGCAGCTACGACGACAACTATCTAGAACCAGACGAACGCAACGTACCTTCTCAATGAAATCCGACTCGGCAATAGCAACTGATGCAACATTGCTATCTCTGCCTCTGGCAGCTTCATAATGCATTTGCTCCTTGACGAGCTGCTTAAGTATGAACAGAAGCAATTCGCTGGAGGAACGATTCGCCGTGAGATATTTCGAAAACGTCTGCAAATGAATGATCTCAATGAATATTCCATGTTCAAAAATGTGCCCTAAAACTATCACCCAACCATGTATGTAACCATGTACAGATGATGTAAACTGCACAATTATTAGAACTCATTCTCGACACAACAACAACGCACCTTTCTCATCTGACGCATAATGGATGCCTTTTGAGT